GAGGAGAGCAACTAAGGGGCAGTCATGTTTACGAAGGGAGAGACTGGAGAACGTTTAAATGCTGTGATGAGAGGGCGCCTGTCTGGGGCGGGGAGGAGTTGAAGTCATCGAAGGTTGCAGGAGAGGGAAGTTCCTGGGGAGGTTTGGAGGGTGGCATTGAGAGCTCTCCACAGAAGGGACCACCTTTGCCCTTGTTTGGGGGGGCAGAAGGAAAGGCTGGGTGAAGATGCAAGGAAGGTTATAGGTGTGGGGGTAGAAGTTGAGACATTTTCCCGTCTCATGATATTAATTATCTGAATTCTCCATGCGATATGAGAAAGGATCATCTGATGAGATGGGAACGGGGGAGAGGAGAGACGAGAGTTGTCAGTGAGGGGGGTGAAAACATGAAGAGAGAGGAGAAAGCTTAAAAATCCTTGAGAAGAACAGGATACAGAGCTGCCTGGGGCAGCCAGCAGACTGGTGGCAGCAGCAGGGGTCCAGCTGAGGCTCGCAACAGCGACTTGCATGGTGGCATCCCTTCCTGGTTTTGCATCTGTGTGATATGTGACGTGCTGGCAGCACGGAGCAGTTGTGTTGCAGGGCCAAGGAGGGGGAGGTGATGGTGTCGCCAGGGTGGGCTTTTGCCATGTGGATGTGACAGAAGAATGGTGATGCGTGGACCAGGGAGAGAGGCTACAACTGCTGGGAAGGAATCAGGTGGGCAGGAGCTGCTAATGGGAAGAGAAAAGAGGCGTTCAGGAACCGAGACGTTGAAGAGCTATTAATAGGAATAGTTGTCAGTATTAGAAAACCAAGAGATGGTGCTCAGAGCAGGTGTCTGAGGCACTGCTGCAGAGGTGCAGCCATCTGGATGGTGATAGGACGAAGGGTGGAGCCCCGGTGTGGGTGTGGGTGTGGGTGCAGGTCTCTGAGTAGGTCTCAAGGAATCGAGAGGCCAGCATGTGGGTGGGTCATTCTTGTACATGCGGAGGTCCCCTCATATTCTATTAACACCACTAGTAAGTGGAGAGAACCACCGAGAGTCACTGCTCGAGTCCCCAGTGAGTGAAGTAGAGCACAGAGCCGGGTGACGTGTTTCAGAACAGTCTGGGACGTGGGTGGGCAGAGGGGTGGCGTGGACAGTGGAGGGCGCTGGTTCTGGTTCCTCCCAAGCCCTCCTGTTTGTCTCCTGCAGATCGATGTGCATCTGCACGATGCCCTGGGGCGGCCCCATCAGTGTGGGACCATCCAGCTCGACTTCCAGCTGCCCCTGAGATTTGACCTCCGGTACAAGGGGTACGGAACCTGGCCCATCCTCTTCCCCTCGGCTGCCCGCAGACCAGCTGGAAAACAACCTCCCCTTCCACCCTCAACCCCAGAAACAGCCAAACCCTCCACCCCCGCCCCTGCGGAGCCCAAAAACTGGAAGGTGATCTCGGTTACACAGTGTGTGCACTTCCTCCACTCCATGCACCCTTCTTTTTCCCTCTAAGGCAGGCGGGGGCCCTGGAGCGTCCAGTCCTCATTCACCGAGCCGTTCTAGGCTCTGTGGAAAGGATGCTGGGAGTGCTGGCGGAGAGCTGCGGGGGGAAATGGTGAGCCCCCCCATTTCTGCTGTGGCTCTCCCACCCTGCTGCAGATCCTGGCCCCTGACTCCAGCTTCTGCTTCCTTCTCGAATCTGCTGCCTGCAGCCACGCCTGTCAGAGCCCGAACAAATCATTCGCCCTCCTCTGTCCTTTCCCCCACCCAGGCCACTGTGGCTGTCCCCGCTCCAGGTGGTGGTCATCCCTGTGGGGCCTGAGCAAGAGGACTATGCCAGGGAGGTGAGGAGTGGGGATAAGAACAGGGCTGAGGCAGGACCGTTAGGGACCCAAGTGGAGCAGCGAGTAGGAAGAGGCCACACGGGGTGGGGGAGGGACATGGCACATGGAGCCACGAGACGGCGCGAATGGCTGTGGCCTGTGTGCCAGAAAGTCATCATCTGAGCAGTGAGACAGATCCTGCCTTATGGAGATGTGTGAAGATTAAACAAATCAGCACACGTGAAATGCTGACAGCAGCACTTGGCACAGGAGGGGGCTTGGGTAAATGTTGGTTTTATTTTTCCTCTCTAGAGAGAGGTAAGGCTATGGACGGTCCCACAGTCGAGCAGCTGCTTGGGTGGAGTGGTGGCTAGAGGCAGGCAGAGCCCAGACCCTCACTGGCCGGTTTGGCTCCCGAAGGAGGCAGACAAAGAAGCCACCGGGGCTGGCGGGGCCTCAGTGTAGACGGATGAGGAGGGGCCGTCTGTGAGAATTGGACAGCCTCGAGGGCAGGTGGGGGGCTTGGGGAAGCTTGGTATCAGACTGTTCTAGCTCCCCAGCCTCCCATGAAATTAAATCCCTGTCACCAAACCTCTGTCCCAGGCACAGCAGAGCCTGCGGGCCGCAGGACTGGTCGGCGACCTGGATGCCGACTCCACCCTGACCCTCGGCCGGAGAGTCCGCCGGGCTCAGCTCGCCAGTTACAACTTTCAGTTCGGTAAGTGACCGGGTCACGCACCTGCCTTCTGCACTGTTCTTTCCTGTCGATTAAGGTTGGTCATCTGCATATTTGGGCTCACTGGGGCTCCGTTCCTGAGCTGGGTCCGAGCCAGGATTCAGGACACCGGAGCCATTTGGGCCCTTGGTTTCTTCACCCCCTGCCCGCCACCTCTGACCCTCAGAACTGTTTTCTTCTGCCCTTGCCATAACTCTTGGTATCTGTTAGGTTAATTACCCAAGGGAGCATCAGAGAGAAAGGGACAGGGAGGGTTATTAAGGCATTAATTAGTTCACTTTGTTTATTCTAGATGAGACAGAGTCAGCCCACGGGATAAGGAGAAAGGCCTCGCAGAGAAGAGTCTAGCCCTACCTGTTCTTTTTCTTTTCATCTGTTCCTTTTATCATTTTCCAAGGTTCAGAGCTCTGTCTGGAAAGAAAGGAGAAGAAACTCCTCAGCTGATTCTGTAGCTTTACACACCCACTCACACCTCCAGCACTTAGAACAACCTGCCCTACAATCCTATGGACTTGTACATGTGTCTTCTACCTCTGCCACCTCCCATTTGTCCAGTGTCCCCATACACGTGCATGCACACAGACACACACACACACACACACACACACACACACACACACACACAGATATACCTACACACACAGACATACATACACACACAGAGACAGACATATGCACGCAGACATACCTACACACACAGACATACATACACACACAGACATATGCACATAGACACAGAGACACACACACAGAGATACACACACAGACACACAGACATACCTACACACACAGACATACAGAGACAGACATATGCACACAGACACACACAGACACACACACAGACTCACACAAAAACATACACCCATACACAGAGACACAGACACACACATATGCACACAGACACACACAGAGAGACACACACATATGCACAGACACACACACAGAGATACACACACAGACATACCTACACACACAGACACACATGTACACACAGACACATATGCACACAGACACACACAGAGACACATGCACACAGAGACACAGAGATACACAAACACAGACATACCTACACACACACAGACATACATACACAGAGACAGACATATGCACACAGACACACACAGAGATACACACACAAATAGACACACAGACATACCTACACACACACAGACAGACACACACAGAGACAGACATGCACACAGACACACATGTACAGAGACACACACACACACACAGACTCACACAAAAACATACACCCATACACAGAGACACACACATATGCACACAGACACACACATATGCACACAGACACACACACAGACATACCTACACACATGCACACACAGAGACACACGCACACGCACACAGACACACACAGTTTCTCTCTGGGTATGCTTCTTGATCTCTGTCTTCCTCTGGCTGACCCTCCTATCTCTGACCCCTGGGCTCCTGACTGGAAGTGATAATGCCTGGAACATTCTTATCTCCTCAGGATGAGCAGGGAACTGAAGAGCAAGAGACAGCTAAATATATCCTTCCCTGAACTACATCTGAGCTCTGCTCTCACCCAACCTACAGATTCAGGTCCCTTCAGCTCCTGCATAGCAGAGTTCCTGCACAGCAAAGGGCCATATGCCCTGTGGGTGAGCTTGCCCGTGAGTCCCAAACCTCCCCTCTTCCTGCAGTGGTTGGCCAGAAAGAGCAGAGCAAGAGAACAGTGAACATTCGGACTCGGGATAACCGCCGACTTGGAGAACGGGACTTGACGGAAGCCGTGGGGCGGCTGCTGGAGCTACAGGACACCAGGGTCCCGAACGCTGAGGAGATTTTCTGAGCGTTTGCAGATGGACGTGGCAGAGACCTGCCGGAGCCGCCAGCATCCCTGACACAGAGGAGGCCAACCTCACTGACAGAGCCTGGAGTTGCCAGACCTCTCGGAACTTGTGTGGGGAGTCTGCCCTGGAAAGAGAGTTGGTCCTGGGGAAGCTGTAGCTGTTTGGATGTGAGGAGAATGAAAGGAAAAATAATAAAGTGGAAGCTACTGGGGATGTGTCTTCATCTGACTCTCATGGGGGATAAAAGGAGTTTGACTCTGTCTCCCTGTCTTTGTCCCAGGGTGTTGGGGAAACTAAAAAGGGGAACCCCTGGGGTCACTGCCCTGCTCCCCACTCTAAGCTCCTTAGTACCCTGTTCCCCCAACCCCAGTTGAGCAGGTTGTCAGATCCCTTCTCCACCTGCAAGTGGAGAAACTGAGGCACCAAACAAGCCCTCAAACATCAGTTGCTCCATGATTCTCAGAATCAGTTTCTCTTGGGCTAATAAGAACGCTCCCCTCTCATCACCCCCATTCTTCTCAGTCCTGTCAGAGGCTTCAGGCGAGCTTGGGAGGAGTGGCTGCCGGAGGAGGAGCTGCTGGGACTGAGTCACGCAGGAAGCTGAGGAGGGCGGGAGCTATTCCCAGATAGCCATATAAAAAGAAGGCTCTGGCCCTGAAGTCCACAGCAGCAGTCACAGCGACAGACAGACACAGGCTTCCAGCAGCCCAGCCCTCCCAGTCCACATCTGCCGGAGCAGACACTCCTCCTGGGTGGCCACTGACCAGTCCTTGCCCCAGGATGGGGAGCGTGTCCAGAGCAGCCCTGGTCTTGGCCTGTTTGGCTGCTGTTTCTGTAGCCTCCGAGGGAGGTGAGTTGGGGTTGGAGTCAGCACTTGGAAAGGGGTCCTGGCCAGCGGGGGCCTGGGGCCCGAGGCCAGCTCTCCTATCCGGCTACACACCAGCAAGGCAGTTCTCCATTTGACCTGTCTGAGCAGGCCCAAGCAGGCCCAGGCACTGGAGCCGGGGCGCAGGGGGAGAGTGCTCGAGAATGCTGCCAGGAACCAAAATTGGAGTCAAAGGACAACTCCTGGGGGCTGCGGTGGGTTCCCAGGGACGGGCCACTGCCTGAGGGGGGGTTCATATGGGACCTATTAGGCCTGGGCAGAGGAAGGGGCCCCCAGGCTGCTCCAGACGGGCATGCTGACTTAGAGCCTTGGCTGACTCCCTGCCTGGTTAGGAGAGGGGTTGAAAGGGCGTCCACAGGGGACCAGACACAGCCACCTCTGTCTAGCACACACACCTTACCTACTTGGATGCTGAACAAACACGCCACTGAGGGCAACTGTTGAGAGCATCATAGATCTAGCCTGTACCTCTAAGACCCTGTTGCACTGTCCTGCCTACTTCCTAGTCTTTTGTGACTGCAGGTCAGCTATGAGCCATTTCTTTCCGTGCAACTGTAGGGTGACTGGGTTCGGTCCTGAGTCATCCCTGCTCCCGTCCTAAACTGAGACCTACACTAAGGAGGATCTGGGACTAGCTAAAGGGGAAGCACTTCAGCTTCTGGGTGGGCGAGCTCCTTCTCGGAAGGCCCACAGATGCTTAATGGGGCTGGAGTGGGAGGGCGGGTGGAGGAAGTGGACAGGTGAGGCGCCGACCCCTTCAAGGTTCGGACTTCTTCCTCTGAGAACTAGGGAAGCATCACAGCAGAAAGGCTGTGGGGAGGAGAGCCAGAAGCCCGGGCAGACACTGACAGCAGTGAGGGCCTCCCCTGCAGCAGGATGGCACATTCCCTTCAGGCCCAGACTTGGGGGACCCAAGGCTTTGAGCCAGTAGAGGTGAGGCTGTCTCAGAACCCAGTGAGGCACAGCTAGGTGTGTTTGGGGGTGGAATACGGGACGTGGGGCAAGAGTAATACGGAGGGGCTTCTGGCGTCTTGGTCATCTTCCCTACACTCGGGACCTCTACAGCCCCCCCACCCCGTGCTCAGGGCCAGGAAGGGCCCCTCAAAACCACCCCTGACTCACCCTTCCTCACTCCAGGCTCCCAGGTTTCAGGGAAGAGGGAGCTGGGGCCAGAGTACCTTCAAGAAGGTAAGAGTCTGGGGGGGGGGGTGGCACGGGATTGGGGGTGGAGGAGGAACCGTAGGCACTGACCATCTCGCCTCTTGCCTCTAGTTGGCTATGCAGCACCCCCATCCCCACCCCTGACCCGAGTCCTCTCCGGGGATCACCATGACACCTCCCACCATGGCCTTCTCTTCGAGGGCCAGAGTGAAGGTGAGCCCACCCCGCCCCTCTCAGTTACCCCTCCAGCTTCCTGGTCTGGCTTCCTTCCCTGGGTCTTCAGACTGGGAGGGGGAAGAGCCCCTGCCCTGGCTCCTGGCCTGCTAGGAGAAGGGGCTACTCACGTGCTCCTCCTCCTGTAGTGCAGCCCCCTCCCTTGCAGGAAGACTTCTTTGTCCTAGAGGAGGAGATGATGCCTCCCCAACTCCTTTTGAAAAAGATAGGTGAGTGCTCGCCCAGTCCCTCACCTCCAGCCCAATGGGATCTTGCTGACTTCAGTCTGACCCTTTGCTCCTGTGCGTCCTTACCCTCAGAGTCCCCCTCAGCCTCAGGAAGCCACGGAGTGGATCCCCAGCTCCCTCAGGAAACTGTCCCCCTTCAAGAAGAGGTGCCTCCTACCCAGCTCCCTAGTGAACAGAAGGAAAGTAAGTGACTCAATCCTCCTGCTGGTGGCTTTGGGGGCTCTGCACTTACTAGCTGTGTAGCCTTGGGTGAGCTACCTCTCCCAGCTTTTACTTTCTTCATCTGTAAAACTGGGGAAAGAATACCTATTTTATAAAGTTATGGGATTTAGGGGGGGTGGCAGGGAACAGCCATGGTCATTGGTTACACGTTGCTTTCGTGCTACAATGGCACAGTTGACTCTTTTAGGGAGGGCGCAGCCACAGTGGCCCATGTGGGGATCGAACCGGCAACCTTGGTGTTATCAGCACCACGCACTAACCAACTGAGCTAGCGGGTCACCTCCTAAAGCTATGAGATTTTAATGGCATTAAAAATAGCACTTATTTTCACTTGCTTCTCTATTGAGCGCCTTTCTATGAATGGGACCTGGCCAGGTCCCCCCTCTTCTAGAGAAGCCCGTGCCAACGTGATTTTTGCTTATGCTTCTTCTACCCCAGTAGACTCATCCTTCCCACTTCAGGAGGAGCAGACCATGCAACCTAAGCAGGGAGCGAGTGAGTGACAGCTCTGGTCTGCCCATCCCGCTGCTTTAGTGCTCAGGAGCCTGGCGAGAGGGCCAGGGAGCATGCGCCTTGGCAAGCAGCACAGGGAGCAGGCCTGATTTGGGGGAGCTGTAAGGGTGATACCTTTCATGCCTCGGTTTTCTTTTCCTTTCAGACACTCATTCTGAAGGTAAGAGCCACAAATTCATTTCTTCTTCTTTTCCCGTATCCTCCCAAACCCTTTCTCCTCAACCCCAAGTCCTTTCAATCCTCCCAACTCATCCAGCCTTTCTCTATCGAGTTCCCTCGGCCTACTCTGTTGTCTCCATTCTAGAAAAGCCAGCTCCCTTCATGCGCCAGTCTCCCGCAGAGCCCCCGTCTTCAAATCCGGCCCAGCACTGCCAACAGGGCCGGCCCCGAGGGGGCTGGGGCCACCGGCTGGATGGCTTCCCCCCTGGGCGGCCTTCTCCAGACAATCTGGACCAGATCTGCCTTCCTACTCGGCAGCATGTGGTGTATGGCCCTTGGAACCTGCCACAGTCTGGCCACTCCCACCTTAGTCGCCAGGGCGACACCCTCAATTTGCTGGAGACCGGGTATTCCCGCTGCTGCCGCTGTCACAGCTACACACACCGCTTAGAATGTGCACAACTCGTGGTAAGAGCTGGGCTCTTGATCCTGGGGGTGTCCTTTAATCCCCGGACACAGGTGTGTGTTTTAAAGACGAGAGGCCTAGGCCTGGGTATTCTGGAGCCTTGAGTCGCTTTCATTGGCCCTACCAGGGGCCTCCCCAGGGTGCCAGGAGAGCAGAGACAGCCTCTGCTCCTTTCCCATCCGTCCGCCCAGGGTCCGTTTCAGGAGCCTGGGAGGAAGACGAATGTGGACAGTGGGCTGCTGCGCTGACCCACCCCTCTTGCTCTAGTGGGAGAACGCAATGACCCAGTTCTGTACGGCTGAGTTCTCGGTTAAGACCCGAGCCCACTGGTGCTGCAAACAGCAGGGAGAGGCTCGATTCTCCTGCTTCCAGGAGGAAGCTCCCCAGCCACACTACAGGCTCCGGGCCTGCCCCAACCAGCAGCTTCTCTCGGGCCCCGAGCTGCCTTTTCCTCCTGGGGCACCCACATTGCACAATATCAAGAACATCTGCCACCTGAGACGTTTCCGCTCTGTGCCACGCCACTTCCCAGCTACTGACCCCATCCGAAGGCAGCTGCAGACTCTGACCCGGCTGGAGGGGGAGTTCCAACGTTGCTGCCGGCAGGGGGACAACCACACCTGTACTTGGAAGGCTGTAAGTGGACGTTCCAGCCACTCCGAGAGCCTGCCTGCCTGCCCACCCATCTCTGACCTCTGACCCCGCCGGTCCATTCCTCCGCGTACCTCCCCGTTGTGAGCACATCTAACCTGCTTGTGAATGTCCGTCCACCCGTTCGTTGTGTTCGTCATCTGAGTCTGTTCGTCCCGAGCCTGCGTCCTGCACTCCTGGCCTCATCCACCCATGATCCCACATGCATGCACCTGTCTGCCAGCCATCCGTCCAGCTCTGGCCTCACCCGACCCTCTCCGTCTACTGTTCCAGCTCATCCCCCGTGGCCGGCTCCGAACCTCACCTGTGCTCCTACCCTGCACCTTCCCAAACCCACGTGTCCACAGCTACCGCCTTGCCCTCTGGCTCTTTGCCCTTCCCTTTCGGTACCTGAGGCTGGGAGTCCCTCACCTCAGCACGGGGCAACCAGGGAAGCAGAGGGTGGGAAGGGGGCCTGTGTCCAGGCTTCTGACTCCCCTCTCTTTGGCCCACAGTGGGAGGATACCCTTGACGGATACTGTGATCGGGAACTGGCTATAAAGACCCACCACCACTTGTGTTGCCACTACCCTCCCAGCCCTGCCCGGGATGAGTGCTTTGCCAGTCAGGCTCCCTACCCCAACTACGACCGGGACATCTTGACCATTGACCTTGGCCGAATCACCCCCAACGTCATGAGCCATCTCTGTGGAAACCGAATAGTTCTCACCAAGCAGTGAGTCTTGCCTAGCTCTTCCCCAACTGTCTTCCCTCCCCAAAACCCTCCCCTCGGGTGCACTCTTGGGAAGGGCAAAATCATAGTCTCCCCATACCATTTTTATTGCCTGGGGGTTCCCGAAGGCCCTGACCCCTGCCCTTTTCCCACCAACATAGTAAACAGATTCCTGGGCTGATCCGGAACATGACTGCCCGCTGCTGTGACCTGCCGTTTCCAGAGCAGGCCTGCTGTGCCCAGGAAGAGGTGAGTGTGGGTGCAAGGGGGCGCAGCCTCCAAAGGGGAGGGAGGTGGCTAGAACTGCAGGCTATCTCTTCTTTCAGTACCTCAAACCAGCCCCCAGGAATAAAGAGGACTAATGGGGAGATCTTTTTTCTTGGGTCCAGAAGTCCTCATTCCTGACCTGACCTGCTCCCCACCACTAAGTTATGCCTTCTCTGGGCCTCAAGCTCAGACATTTCCAGGTGTGCACATCTGTCCATCACAAGACGTCTAGCCGTGCACGGCAGCCTCGCACTCTCTCTGGACCCCAGGAAGGGATCCAGGGAGACAGCAGTAGAAGCTGAGGGAAAGGGGACTTTGGACACCCAAGTATCCATGCCTGACCTCTCGGAACCCCCTCCCCAACCACCTCTATTTTACTCTTCTCATTCATCAGAAATCAGCCTTCATCAGTGACCTGTGCGGTCCCCAAAGTAACTGCTGGCGAGACTCTGCTTTCTGCTGTAAACTGAGTCCTGGCGATGAACAGACCAACTGCTTCAACACAAATTATCTGAGGAACGTGGCTCTAGTGTCTGGAGACACCGGGGATGCCAAGGGCCAGGGGCAGCAGAACCCAACTCAGGGAACAAATATCAGCTCCACCTCTGAGCCCACAGAAGGATGAGTCACCCCCAGAGCCTTGGAGGATCAGATTGGGGGAACCCCACCCCACCCCACCCTTCTGGAAGAGTCATCACAGTAAACACCTCTGGGATCTGGTGTGCTCACTGTCTGTAACATCTCACTGGCAAACACACCCTAAATCTGCTGGGATTTTCTTCAGTGACGGGGCCCCGAGGCCCACTGCCCTGCCCCCACTGGCTGAGCAGAAATTGTTTCAGAGGCTGTGATGGAACCATCACTAAATGGCTGAACTTCACTATGTGTCTTCTTGCATTTATTCACATACTTAAAAAGGAACATCACCTTGTTAGCTAGCTATCGGGGTCCAGAGGTGAAAAAGATATGCTGCATGTCTTTGGTGAGCCCCCGCAAATGCCACAGCCCTACCTGACATTTTTTAATCTTCCCTTTGAACCCTTGGAGTCCATGCGTTCGTTCATTCATTATCCATCTATTGAACAATTGATGTTCACTGTGCTAGACCAGGATACACAGTCCCATCGGTCAGGTTGCTCACATTCCAGGAAATTAGCAGGTGTGATAAGTGGTGTGGTTATCCAGAGCCTGCGTGCTCAGGGTCCCGGGGTGGGAGTGGGGCTGGGAGCAGTCCGGGTGCAGTGGGGAGGTGTCAGGGTGAGGTCAAAGCTTCTCCAGGAGAGAAGCAGAGGGTACACGTGGCAGGTACAGCCCAAGCAGGAGGGCCAGCTCATGCAGAAGCACAAAGGCCTGACTCAGTGGTGTTCCTCCGAGATGTGGCTGGGAAGATAAACAGGAGCTCATCACGAATGCCTCATCCGCAGCTTTTAACGTGGATCTTCAGCGCGCGAGGGCACCGGCGTTTTCAGGCATAGGATGTGTTCAGATTTGCCTTTCACGACGTGTAGTCGGCAGCCAGCCAGGCAGGCCTCTGACCTGGGAGGCCACCTCGGAGAGTGTCGTGGTAACGCCGAAGGGAGGGGGCTGTACCCGCCAGACCTGAGCTGGACCGCAGGGTAGCGGGACTCCCCAGCCCCTCGAGGCTGCCCCCAGGAAGCCGGAGCTGAAATATGACTCGGGTCCCGTGGGGACTAGTCATTTGTGACCCCGCTGTTAGGCCAACAATCCAGAAAGCGGGACTTCCCCGACCCAGGTTATGGCAGAACAGGGTGAACCAAAGCCCACCGTCCAGGGACAAGCGGACGAGCTGAGCCCCAGCAGCTCTCCAGCTGATACCGCCGCTCCCCCCTTGCTTCCTCCAGAGGTTTTTGTTTATTTACTCATTTATATTTTGCCGGGATCGCTGTTTCTAACCTAGCAGCGTTCGACGGCCCCTCGGCCAATCGGCCAGCACGGGCGCCAATAAGCGGGCGAGAGCCGCGCTGAGCCCCGCCCCTGCGCCGGCAACCCCGCCCTCCCGAGTCTGGGCGACCTCGGCCTCCCGTCACGTGCTCGAAGAGCATCACTGCGCCTGCGCAGACGTAGTGCTCACTTCGACCGACGCGAGGACTCAGGGATTGGACTGGGGAAGGCGGGGCTTGCTCCCCCCTACATCCACCCACTCGTCCGTCTTGCGTGACCGGGTCAGCTAGAGCTGGAGGAGAGGGGCGGGGCCGCGGCCGATGGAGGGACGCGTGGGCGGATCCGCGGACAGAGACGCCTCGAAAGGGCTCTGTCCTTCCGGAAGCTTCCCGCAGGTGCCTCAGGCTGCGTTTGCAAAGCGCAGCTTCAGTTGCTGGAGCGGCAGTGTGAGACCGGTGGGACCGCGGGCCCAACCTGTGGGAGTTGTCAGGCTACCGGGATGGGGGAGGAAGGGAGCAGTAAAGCGATATAAGCAGCCGTGTTGGAAGGATAGTGCTGGCTAGATATAAGCGTCGTGAGCTGAGTTAATAGAAGTCATTGTCTCTAGGGGCCTGCAAACTAGCAAATGAAGGAGGTGGTTTGGGACAGAGCCCGGAAGCATGAATAGGATTACTGTTAGTTACCAGGAAAAGGTGCGAATGTTAACGTTTACTGCAATTAGTTGTATAGATAAGCTATCCAAATATAATTCATTAAGTTCAGGGGCAGCGGATAAAGAGGTCAGAGCCCCAAACTACTTGGAGGGGCCCGGGGAAGCTTCATGGAGGAATTCAAGTTTGAATCGGATCTTGCTGGAAGGGGAGGTTTACAAAGCCCTGGTTGTTTGCAAAGTTCAGCTAAAATAAAATAGTGTCCTTTGGGTGTTAGGCAGAGTGCTAAGTAAGCTGGCTATAAAGAAGACGGAAACACCTCCCTCAAGGATTTTTAGCTCAGCGGAGACTGGAATATCGAATGATAGACGTATTCTCTGGATTCGATGGGAGACACCCAGCCTGGCTTATGGGGAGGTCTTCTTGGGGGAGGCCTTAAAGCAGAAAGTGTGGTTGGTATATTTGAAGAGCCACTCAGTAGTAAAAATGGTGTGGGGAGTAGCTAGCTGTGAGGTTGCAAATGTAAGCTTAGTCATGCTTTCTGGAAGATGTTGGTCTCTAGAAGTCATGCCAACTTGGAAATAAGCACCTGTGAAGGACTGAAAAAGAAAAGCGATGTGAACAGCTTTTTTTGTTTGTTTTTAAGATAAATCAGGTGAACAAAAATAGATGAGCTGGAGAGAGGACAGAGACGGACCAATTCAGATATTGAAATTGTAGTTCTTCAATGTCAATAAAACTGTGAGGAACTCAGATCCAGCAGAACCTTGTTAATGGTACAGGGGATGAGAAAAGGGTGGAGGGGACAACATCTTTAAAGCTATTTAGGAGCTACACCCCTGTTTGCTGCAGATGTCCAGGATGATTCTCCAGTTTGAGGTTTGGGTAACTAGGATAGGACATACAGGAGGAGGAGAGTAAATTCAATGTTGGAGTCTTCAGTAGTCCCGTGTCCCTTAGTGAAAGCACCTTCAGAAGGAAGATGTCAAAGCCAAGTTCTAGGGAACTGGGTGTGAATGGGAGGTGAAGAAAGGGAGGCAGCAAGTGTTGCCTGCTCTTTCAATGTACTTCTGTGTTCTAGACCAGCAGCCTATTAGGACACTTGGAAGTCTCTTAGATCCCACAAATTCAGCTTGTTGAAAAATGAACTCTTCTGGGTATGGGAAGATGTGCAAAAGGAAATACAGTAATAAGTGAGTTGTAGAATCTGGGTGGTGGGTATATGGGTGTTCGCCATACAATCTGTCAGCTTTTCAGCATTTTTGAAAATTTTCATAAAATGTTGAGAAAAAAGATCATCTCTACCCTCCAACTGTTCCTGCCCCGGGCGGGGGGGGGAGCCCATCTCAATAAAAAGAACTGCCACCTACTCAGTTGTTTAGGCAAAGACTTGAGAATTCCTTCTTTAATGAATCCCTTTCTTCCCTTCTATTTCAGCCACCCACCACATCTCCTACGCATCTCTTAAGTCCGTCAACAGTGCTCTTTACGCCAAAGTTAGGTTCTGAAGGCAGATGTAAGGCAAAAGTGACATAATCCACATAACCGTTGGAAATCCCTTACGTTACTCATAAAATACAGTAGCTGTGGTTTGGTGTGCACGACTCTACACAAAAGGTATGTACAAGTATGTATGTATAAGCGTGGAGTGGAGATGGTGAGGTACAGTATATAATAGGGTACACAGTATAATCTTAAAGAACCTTTCACTACATAACAGAGTGCCACATGTCATTGAACAGAATTGTTAAATACACACAGGGCACAGGGACACTGTGCTGGTCACCTGTCCCCTGCCTCCAACCTAGTCCAAGCTCCCACCAACCCTCAGGATTATTGAAACAGCTTCCTAACCAGCCTCGTGGCTCCTGCTCACCGTGTCCAATCTGTTCCCCATGTTCCAGGCAGAATGAGCTGCTAACTGATTCAATCAGGTCACTTCACAGCTTTAAAACCCCTCAGTGATGTCACACAGTTCCCTTAGGACAATGTCAAAAACACCCCCATGTGGCTGCCCTGCTGTCCACCATCTGGCCTCTGCCCAGTCCTCTGACTTAGTCATGCACACCTCTTCCTGCTTGTTCCCTAAGCCCCGGCAGAACTGGGCTGGTCACCTTTCCAGGGTCCTCACATTCTCCTGTGCGTTCGCCCCTTTGCCGCGCTGCTCTCTCCCAATAGAGCCCCTTTCCCCTCTGCCGGAGTGGGTAAGCCCTGTCCTCCTGTGGCGGACTCTCCCTGTCTACTCAGCAAGCCATCCTCCTCCAACCTCTCCCCTCCCGCCAATACTTCGTTCTTGCTGAAATTTAAATATTAAAAAAGCATTGTGAAAAATAACACGTTTAAAAAGTGTGCTAAACATAAATGTATACAGTTTAGTGGATTATTATAAAATGAAACTTCCCGCAACGACCACCCAGGTCAATCAAAGCACGTTGATGACACCCCAGGAGCCCCCCATTATGCCTCTTTCTGGTCACAGACTCCTCCCACCCCTGTAAAGTAACCGCTATCCTGGTATTTTTAGTAGTCAGTTACTTGCTTTTTCTTTATAGTTTTACCACCTAAAAATGAATCCTAAAAATATCATTTAGGATTTTTTTAAAGCGTTATGGAAATATAATTTACATAACCATACAGTCTGCCCATTTAAAGTGTATAATTCAGTGGTTTTTGATATATTATTAATTTTTTAAGATTATGGTAAAATATATATAACATAAAGTTTGCCATTTTAACTACTTTTAAGTGTACAATTCAGGGACATTAATTACATTCATTCATATTGTTGTGCAGCCAGCACTACCTATTTCTAAACTTTTTCATCACCCCAAACAGAAACTCTGTAACCATTAGGCAAAAACCACCTCCCGTTCCCACCGCCCCCAGCCCCTGGTAACCTCTAATCCACTTTCTGTCGGTATAAATTTGCCTATTCCAGAAACCTTGTGTAAGTACCTTCAATATTGGTAGGTTCTTCTGTGTCTTGCTTATTTCACTTAGCATGTTTTCAAGGTTCATCCACGTTGTAACATGGACTTCATTCTTTTTTATGGCTGAATGAGATATTCCATTGTATGGCTAGACCACATTTTGTGTATCCATTTTTCTGTTAATGGACACTTGGGGTGTTTCCATCTTTTGGCTATTATGAATAATGCACAATCATTTTAATTTTTTGCCCATTTTGCCCATTTTTTTAATACTATAAGAATGGAATCAGACACAATGTAGTTTTTCATGTTATTCCATATACCTGTCTTCTTCCTCCCCCTCCTCCTCCTCCTTCTCCTCTTCTCCCTCCTCCTTTTCTTTGAGATGTTCTTCACAT